GTTACTCACTTTAACTGGAAGGTATGAGACTATATAGCTAGCTGAACCTTCACACACAGTACTCAAGCATTAAATGCAATCAAACATGAAAAGTGTTATACACTGCATAATATAGGAGTGCAAAACTCTCCTACAGCATTAGTGACATCTTTGTCTCTGGATCAACATTAAAAATCCCAAGTGACAGAATTCACAGCTATCTTCTCCAGAGACTATTACACAAGCCTATAGATTTTACACATCAATCATCCTATGAAGTTAAAACAGAAAATTTGAACAGAACTACTAAAAAAGAAATGAGGGGATGACATCAACAGAGCAAATCAAATAAAATTCTTAAAGAAAAAAAAGAAAAAAAAAAAAAGCTGAAGAAGCAATATTCCTAATGCTGTATGTATCAAAACCAATAAAAAAAGGTTGATAGATATTTTGCAGTCTATTTTGTGTTTAAAGATCTGACAAAAAGAGCAGCTGCTTTCAGTTTTAAAAATATATCTATAATGTGAATAAAGTATCTAACATACCAAATACATGGCATCAGATCTTAGCAAGTAACTTCTAACTTCCAATGATGAAGAAATTCTGTAAGACGTTTTTTAAAATCAGTTCTTTTATTTAACAAACTATTTATTTAACTAACTTTTAAGTGGTCCATACACTTTTCTGAAGCTATTAATCTTGGGACTATCAGGAATACTGTTTCTCTCAAGTACCAAATGTTTCAGTACATATTTTTAATGTTTGAGAATTGGTACTATATAATCTTTTATCTATTAACTACCAAAGAATAATCCAGGTAGAGCAACCATAGAAAACATGTAAAGTATGCTTTTATAAGCCCATACACTGTCATCGGATACACAGGGATGAAACAAAACAAGCACACATTAAAAATGTACTTGCAGTTAGATGAAATACATTCTGTACAAAAACTGGAACTAGCAGAGAACCACAGTTATTTTTATTCATGTTTTCATTTTCGTTATACAACACATCTTCAAGATACACAAATGGTTTAGATATGTTTGATCTTGTAGCCACCACAATTCTTTAAGACTGTATCCCATCCCTGTAACAACCATCTTGTGAACGTAAAAGGAAAAAACCCGTGTATCTACTGATCACCCTTGTCCAAAAGGGCTCCTAAAAACGTTACCTGTTAACAGACCTGATGTTATATTACTCTTTTGTCAACTACTGAAGGCAGTTTCCAGTATACCTTTGCTATATTTTTTCTACTTAATACCAAGATTTATAAAACATGAGAATGACATACAAACTGACAGTTTAAAAATCCTAGCAGCTCTGAATATCACTTCATTGATTCTTCTCATCTTTCCACATTTCAACTTACCTCAGATCCTGAGGAAATCTGACTTTGGCCTGGCTGATTCGGAAGGTGACCAGCACTTCTCTCTGTAATAGAATCCACTGCATTGTCATCCTGTTCAACCATTTCCATGGTCATCAGTCTAAAAGTAAGTACATACACATTTAAATACCTCAGTACAGGCAGATATATCAGGCAGCTAGGGAGAGTAATTCCAAACTATTTTATACTTCAAACAGACAGAAAATAAATATGTTTCTGTCAAACTGAAGTCCTTTCTTCATTCCCCTGCATTAAAATATTCACTCATATAGCCAGAAGCTCTAAAACAAGTATTTTGGAAAGCTGCAGGGAGTTCTGGAGATGGTTCTCAGGGAGGGACAAGCAGAGTCCCAGGGTCACATGCAGTGCTGGCAGTACTGCCCACAGAAGGTCCCTTCAGTCCCAAGCTGTCCAGCAGCCATGGGCTGCTACAGCCCTCTTGAACCTTCCAAGATACCTATTCCCTGCAAGCGTCTACGCTTGAGTTGTCTGTAAATTATTCACGGCTCAAGAGTCACAATTCTTCTCACTTTAAAGGTTTAAAAGTAGGGTAGATTTCATTGAAAAATAAGCAACTTGCTGACCCTCAATTTAAACTAAGAGTTTAAACTTCATAGAGATAACTTCCAAATCTGCTAAATATCCGCCATATAAAAATGCAATTACCTGACTCCTTTTCGATATTTCTTGGCACACTTAGTCATAATGGAAGGTGTGAGTTTTAAAACAAGAGCTTGGATCTCTTCGGCTCCCTTTCTCTCCTACCAAACCCTGCACTGAAGGTGCAACATTGAACAGGTGATGTCAAACATTGCCATGGTAACAGGTCAGTTTACAAACAGAACAGAGACAGGATAGTGTCAGGCAGAGGCAGGCAGGATGCCCTGCAGGCATGCTCCCACCTACACCCTACTTGCACAACCAATTGACAGCCACAAAAGGAAGACATTATGTTAGTTGAGGTATTTAAGAGGCAGCAAATCTCGGTCCCCCAGGTTCAGTTTCTGTAACTAGGGGACGCCAGGCCTGACTGAAGTCAAAGTTCAATTCTTTCAACTGGCTCATAGTTACTTTGGTTTCTTCTCAGGACTTACACTGAGAGCTGCAAGTCAAGAACTGCTACCCACCTGACTCTGAGTCTCTGGAATTTAGTACTACAAGCTGTAAGTTAACTGCATTGAATCAAATTAAATGTAAACAAAACTCCTTTTGCTGCACTATTTTACAGAACATTCCACAGTCTTTGAAGAGAATAAATTTTATTGTTTCTTTAAAAATCAAATTTTTGCCCAAAATATAGGCATGAAAATATGAAAAGATGCAGAGAAGCATATTTCGAGCTCATATGCCTTCAATGGTACTGTACCGACAAGACTTAACAGTACTACAGCTAAAGGTAGCCAAGCTGCAAAACAATTCAATATTTAATTAGTTAACACGAGTATTTCTGCTCAGAGAAGTTATGTACCCTATGCCAGTATTAATTCAGATTAGAATCATAGGGAGCTATTTTACACCTAAAATTTTTCTACATTTTTATCTTGCTAGTTATGACTAATTATCTTTCTCTTTACCTACAATTTTATTAAATATCTACTGAAATTCACCAAACTCTAACAACTCTGAGGAAAATGTTGTCACCACACTTTTCACCATAAGTTTCTATAAGAAGATGTTATTTAATTAAACTATTCTTGTTTTATATATGTACAATATAATAACAATAATAAAGTAGGAAAGAAAGTTCTTCCTTTGTAAACAAGGGCCACCCATGAAGTGTCAAATATGAAAGGTCTATATGGTTCATGAAGAATAAGCTTCAGAATAGCTCACACACCACGAAAGATTAATGCATAGGTACTGGCAACATATTCATTGTAATCTCTTCCTGAAGATAGGAATATAGTCAGAAATAATTCACTTTTTGAAGGCCCTGAAGTATTTTTGCATCCAGAGCCATCCGTCACAGAAAACCTACTGTTGAAAAAAACACCAAAAACAAACAACAAAATACGCAAGTACTTTTCTTCCCACTGAATGCATTTCATAGAATTTTTACCCAGAAAGAGCCATTTTTCATCATGGAAAAGATTTTGTTACTAATTTTTAGCTTAATTTCTCACTGATTGCAGAACAGCATAAAAATGTACTTATTTCTACTAATTTATCAGGATTTTTCTCCCCAAGACTCTTCATCTGCAATGCTGCACTAAGTTAGCAAAAAGCTACAAAAAAAACATCAGTGCAGCAGAAAATCACACAATGTTACTCCTCCTATTTTGCAAAATGGAATACAGAGAAAGGGGTATATTTTTTGATTCTTTAATTAGAAAAACAACAGCAAGAACTATACATGTATACAAGAACTGACAAACATAATTAAGATTTATGATATAAATGGAAAACTCTAGAATTCATATATATTTTCCATCTAGAATTGTGTATATTCTGATTTGTAATACAAATTATTGCTTAATTGAAAACTTTTGCAGGGTGGAGTAAAGTCTGAAAATTTGCCATAAAAAGCAATCACTTCTCTGAAACGCAGCAAAATACCTTTCCTAAATAAGTTCAAACCTGCTTCTTTTTGACAACCTCTGTGACCAAATAGTGACTTGACTTAAAACCACATCCAAATATAAAGATTCAATCACAGCCTAAAAAAAAAAAAAAAAAAAAAAAAAAAAAAAAAAAAAAA